CCCGTAAGTTTTGAAGGGAATACATTATAAAAGTGTTCACTTTATTTGGAAAATGTCCCTCCTTTATGTTTCTGTGACTCAACTGGATTATTTTTGTCTTATTGTCTCCCGTCTGCAGCATGTGAAGAGGCTCATTATAATTTATGTGCTATTCTCTGCCTCAGATGGCATATGCCCAGAACCCAAAGAGACCATGCCTGGTGGGCTCATTCCACCTTTGACAACTGATGTCTCCCAGAGCAACTCTGCATGTGTGGCCAAAATGAAAAAAAAAAAATAAAAAAATAAATATCCAGCATGCTGAGGAATAAAAATAATAAAAAAGTCAAGGTGCAGCCGTCCCCATTGTCGTCTTTATTAGAAGGTAATGCCACACTACATTTGATTACAGTGTTTAAACAGCCCTGGTTGTTTATGAGTTATGAGTTATTGAGCTAGGCAAAGAGTTTAAAAGAAAATGAAGCAACAGCAGATGAATATAGACCAAACAGTAAATTATATCTTTATGATACATAAAAAAAAAACAAAAGATTGGTTTCTGACCTCAACTTGAAAGAAACAAGAGACTTTGGGAGCAATATTGTTGCAAAATTATTTGCACGTGTGTTGAGAGGTGTGTGTGTCTGTATCTCGATTTGTGTGTCTGTAGTGGGATTTGGAAAATGTGTAAATAAATCTGGAAATAAGTGAGAAGATTTGTGTGTCTGAACAACAATCTGCAAATGTGTAAAACTACTTGTGTGTGTAATCAAATTTGCAAATGTGTAAAAACAATCCACAAATCTGTATTCAGACCTATAAACGTGTACTAAGATTTGCACATTTGTACCAAGATTTGCAAATGTACACTAAGATCTGCAAACGTGCACTAAGATCTGCAATTGTGTACTAAGATTTGCAAATGTGCGCTAACAAAAATGTTCACTAAGATTTGCAAATATGCACTAAGATTTGCAAATGTGCACTAAGATATGCAAATGCACACTAAGATTTGCAAATGTGCACTAAGATATGCAAATGCACTCTAAGATTTGCAAATGTGCACTAACACAAATGTTCACTAAGATTTGCAAATGTGCACTAAGATATGCAAATGCACACTAAGATTTGCAAATGTGCACTAACACAAATTTGCACTAAGATCTGCAAATGTGCACAAAGATCTGAAAATGCACGCTAAGATCTGCAAATGTGCACTAAGATCTGCAAATGTGTGTTTCAATCTGTGAGCACTCAGAGACACTTATGTCTAAAGTGTTTTCACTTCAAGACCCAGAAATATAGACAAATCATTTGTTACAAGTCAAGCTTTTTTTCGGTTGGCTCTCTTTACACACGTGATTTTAGCTGCATTTCTGCCATGTGAAACCTGCAAATGCATAGTTTTACACATTTGCAGATTGTTGCTCAGACACACAAATCTCACACATTTCCAGATTTATTTACACATTTTCAAAGCCTGCTGCACTCACACAAATCAAGATACAGACACACAACTCTCCAAACACGTGCAAATAATTTAGCAGCAATGTTGCTCCCATAAGAGACACCTTACGTTAGTAAGAGCTGTACAGCATTTCACATTACAATTAGAAAATAATACAAAAGCATAAGAAAATACATGGAAAACTACAATTGTAAAAAAAAAAAGCAAAGACTTCAGCGTTTCCCTCAGAGTGGCCGAAGTTTCTGATTTTTTTTTTTTTTTCTATTCAAGCGTTTTGCTGGTCCATGTGGAGAGAAGTTTCTGTTTCTTGATACTGGAAAAGAGGACAGAATGAGGTCTCTCCTGGTGCACAGTTCACTGAAGTGCTGACAGTGTGCTTCCCCTGGTTTGGCTTTATCTCTCCACAGCAACAAAAAAGATACAACAGATAGACTTACATAGAAGATCCTCAGTTAGTGTGAAAAGGAACCAATGACCATAAAGATACTATAAACCAAAGCCATGGAGGATATAATTGATGCTGATAGATCTAAAATAAATAATTTAACTTTTCTGTCTGTACTATCCACTGGCAGAACATTCACGTCTCGCTGCAAGATGACATATTTATCTTTTGTCAAAATAGTTCAACAACTTAAACTCTGGTAATCACTCATATTATTGTTATAACCCATTATGTTAAAGAAAAAGCAGAATCTATGGCCTTTTCCTTTTATTTACTCATGTCATAAAAGGGAAATCCTCTTACAGCTTTTGAGTTATAGATTAAAATTTCACTGTTGAAAAACTCAGGGCATTGGGAATCAAAAGTTATCTAAAAAAATATATATATATTCTGCATCAAAGCATGCGAGTGTAGCAGGGCATCAAAATCTGTTCGCTTGCAAAACAACATCAGGGTGTTATAACTTTAATAGGTCAGATCAGAAGAATATAATTTTTTTTGTGTGGCATCTGAGACCAGCACTTATTATACAAAGAAGCTTAATGACATCACTTTAGCCCCGCCCCCTACAAAAAATAGGAAATTTCAAGTTTAACCAATGGACGTCCTTTCTTTTCACTGCGCCCCCTATGGATTAGGAAATTGCAGCCACTGCTGTCGTGAAGGTCGGATTTGGGCGATATTGGTGTAAGCATGGGGGCAGTGGTGCGTGGCTCCCATGGTCGACTTGTGCTTGTGACTTTAATTCCTTTTATTATTATACACCATTATATGTATATATATATATATATATATATATATATATATATATATATATATATATATATATATATATATATATATATATATATATAAATATATATATATATATATATATATATATATATAAATATATATATATATATATATATATATATATATATATAAATATATATATATATAAATATATATATATATATATATATATATATAAATATATATAAAACAGAACGAAGAATTAGCCTGAATTTACCATTCCCATTTAAATTATAATCTATTCCAACCTTGATACCAAAATGGAAGGATGGAGAATGGTTGGCACTTTTAATTGTGATTAATTGACCAACATAAAATATGCTTACAGTCATAGTTCTTATTTTTACATTGATGTAAATGTGACTTAAAGCTACAGTGTGTAATAATTACAGGGATATACAGTCAGAAATGTAATATATTATACATAACTATGTTATTTATCATCATCTACGAGCTCAGCCTCTTAACCTTAATATTTGCGTTGCCTTAGAATTCGTTATTTATAATTACATAGGAGCGGGTCTCGCAGCCATGGAGGCAGACATCTTTGCGCTACGGCAGCGCAGAGCCAACAAACTAGTGATTGCGAGATCGCCAAAATGTCACAACGATGTAGAAAAAATAACAGGTATATTTATTATCTTAATTCTACATGAAATCTATACCCTACACAGACTAATGAAATACTATCTGTAAAATTATCTATGTAAACAAACCTCATCACTTGAGAAGGTAGGTGATGCGGACGTCGTGGAAGACATTTTGTCCCGTGACGCTCGCCGTACTGTTGGGAGGGAGAAGCGGTGGGGGGGAAATGTTCATGTTGTTGCAGTCTGACCGCTAGATGTCGCTAAAAGTTACACACTGTAGCTTTAATGTTTCCTTCTCTTCATTTGTGTAAAATCTATGCTAAGTTTAACGCAATATTAGAAAAACTATGTCAAACTTTGTCATCTTATTATCCAATTTATAGTTGTAAAAAAAATGAAAATAAATCATAATTACAATAACTGTGGTAAAGCTAGGTGACTTTATCCCAATATAGCTACGAAGCTCATGATAATTTTCTAGCTAGCAAACTAAATTTGATGAGTCTGCGAAAGAAAAAAGCAACCAAGTAATACGGTAATCATTGTGGTGCTAACTAGCTTAGGAATGGCTAATTAATAAATCTTTAGTGTTGCCATGTTGGAAAGTTCAGGGAAGCTTGGATTTTTTTTCATTGGATCTCAAAATTCTGTGGGTATTCTCGGCTCGTACCTCAAGAAAATCACACTTCTGAGTAGAGAGAGAGAGATACCCTCAAAGAAAAAGTAGCCTAATAATCTCTGAGACTATATTCCATTTGCAAGAGCAATTAAATGTCCAAAATCTAAACATTATTTAAGTTCGTAATACTCTATGCAGACGCTCTGTCTACACTAATGAAGAACACCACATGATTTCCCACCAGATACATGGAGGGACTCCAACTGACTGGAACCCATGGGCTGTTCTAGACAGGGGCCAACGGGGGCCAGTGCCCCTGTAGATCATGTCCTGGCCCCTGTTTTTACCCCTGTTCTGAAGACATAAAATAAATTCTTATGATTATATGCACTGGAACAGACATGGTTACTGATAGGCGCTTTGGATCTTTTTCACTTTTTTCTTACAAAAATTCTGTTTTATCAATTATTTAAAAACAATAAGGTGATAGCTTCAGTGCCATTGAGATAGGATCCCATTTTTTTAAACAAATATTCTAATTTTTACAGCTAATTTATAAATTTTTTTGTTCCAATTCTGACTTTATAAACTGTCATTTTCACTTAAATTAAGTTAGAGATATGTAAAATTCCTAAATTATGAATGTATATTGATCTAATATTCCAAATATTAGCTATATTTGGTGTTTTAGATATGTATATAGATACAGGATTTTTATTTTTATGATAATCCAAATGAAAATTTTCAAGCCAAAAATAAATATTTTCAGTTGGAAGACATAATTTTATTAAACCTAATTGAATGGACATTTTAATTTATGCAGCTCTCTTAATATGTTTGAATCCCTTGGCCTGTTTTTTGTTTCATGCTTTTCTGTGCCCCCATGAAAACACGGAGGCCCCCTCCTGGCCCCCTGGTACATTTGGTCTAGAACCGCCACTGCTGGAACCTGACCTAATTTTTAAACGATTTGGCAAATAATTGTTTGACCAATCAGAGAAACGAACAACACTGAGATTTCTAACACAAATACTTTGCTGATTATTAACAATTGGCAAAATAATTCAAATGACACAATGGCAGAAGTAACAAAACCCGACACAGTAGAAGATTCTGAAAGTTATATCTTTCATTCGACACGCCCTGTTTAAAATAGGGAAGCGTCACAAGCAACACAAATTCTGTGCTTCATTTTCTCCAGTAACACATTTTTCTTCCTCGCCACACGAAACAAAACACTTTCAGTTTGTCACATGGCTTTTAGGAAAGAGTCAAATACAGGGCAAAAATTAGAATACAGAAACTATAACTGATTACACAACAGGAAAAATATTCTTATTTTTTATGGCATCAGTTTTTTTTCCTTACTCTTAATTCCCAGAAATACTTCAATATTCTAAAAGTGTTTTCAGATCACAATGGGAAAACAAGTTTTTAAAAAACCCCTGAAATTATTAAATACCAGAATAAAAAAAAATCTAGCAGTTCTTAAAAAAAAAGAAAAAAAATGCCAAAGAAGTGATGTATGTAAGTTAACATGTAAATATTTCTCCAATACAGATTCCTTCTGGCTTTGCTTATGTTCAGTTCATCAAAAAAAGCATAAAAAGGATAATGTAATTATAAAAAGTAGAAAAAAAGGTTATACGTATATTGTAAATGCCTCCTGAACCTCACTGCTGTTTCCTGTTGACCCCCTTTCTGTCGCAGCCTGGTAGTACAGGTAGATAGGGGTTTGGTGAGCAGGAACGGTCTACTTCAGGACCCACTAAAGCCCTTTAAAATTGAGACTTTGACTAGACCATCTCCATCTTATAAATCTTTGAGGTTATTTCTTCAGATTTTTGGAAAAACCTCCAGAACATCACACTGCCGCCACCATGTTTGACTCTTGGTATGAGGATCTTTGTCTGTTACAGACTGCAGTCCTTCTAAAAAGTTCCACCTTTGTTTTTTTAGTCCACAGAACATCAAAAAAAAAAAAAAAAAAAAAGGTTTTGAGGATCATGCACATGCCTGTGAGCCAAATCTGGCTTTTGTTTTTATTTTGGCAAGTGGTGGGTTTGGCCTTGAAACTACCATTTTCCCCCATAATCAAAACAGTGACCTTAAGGAAAGAGAAGTCTGTGGCTTTAGATGCAGTTCAGCTTTGTTTCGTGCCCTCCTGGAGTAATTTTGATTGTGTGGTCTCTCCTGTGAAGGGCTCCCATCCTCTGCAGCTGTTGTTTAACGCCGTACTAGAATAACCGACTGATGTCACTTGAATTCATTTACCTCTTGGTTCTGAATTTCCTTGACACCAGGGGTCTGATGTGTTGCTTTAAGCCTTCTGCGTGTCGAACAGGTTCTATTCAAGTAATGTGTGCTGGTTTGGATCGCTTTCATTCCCTTAATGAATGAAAGCATAATTTAAAGTTTTCCTACTGTTTGTATTAACTGAGCTTGTTTATAAAAATGATGAGATGATCTGAAACAAATGCATTTTAAATGTTAAAACCCCTCTCTGCAGGTTCTGTCTAATTACACCTATAAAGGAATAGGGTTGGGCATCGTTTGAATTTAAACAATTCTTCTTCAGTTTTACTGTTTCGAATCCAGATCGTATTGATTCTCGATTCTGAATCTTTCAAGTAGAAGAATCATAAAAGTTTTTATTTTTTAGATATAGTCTGAGCTTTTAAATGAAATTTAATTACTTGAACATCTATCTTTACATAAATGTCACATATTTATGTTATATCAGAGTATTTTATTGACTGGATTCTTACCGTGGCATGGTTTTAGGAAGGTTTCAGAGTCTATATCCACAATATCTACCAAAAAAGTTCAAAACAATCCACTGTTGTTTCCAAGTTTGAAGATGTTTTGCTTCCTGGATGGAAAGCGAAACATCTTCAAACTTTGACACAAAGTCCAGTGGATTGTTTTGAACTTTTTTTGGAATGACTATGACCTGGATGACCTGGATGACTCTTCACCAATATATTTACTTTTGTTGACAGAGGAACGATCAGATTTCATACTTCATTATCCAATTATAGGGTTTCATCACATGAAACAGAAACCAAATGAACTTAAATAAGACAGAAGATGAATTTAAGCTTGAAATTTCAGCATAATCTAAAAAAAATTCATTCTATTCAGAACGCATAGAAAAAGCCAAATATATAACGGCAGAAAATATGAAAAAGCTGTGCTCTAGCTGGAGAAGATGCTCTACGAATTTAGAGGAGGAACAAATTCCCTATGGGAAAATCTACCTTAAAACACAAGCGGAGCAGGTCAAAGATGAGGCTCCATCCTGACATAGAAGGTGATAAATCACGCTGTCTTTTGCACAATATAATCCCATTGCTAGTGTCGCAGGTAGCCGACTGGTCATTTCCTTATTTAACATTAAGCCACACTTTTTAATGCCACAGAACAAACAGATGGACACACACTGCTGTCCATTCCTCTTTGCTGATATTAGGCAGCTTCTACTTTTTGTGGCATCGAAACTAAGAAACTTTAAACGATTCCCGGTAAGTTTAAAGGTTAAAAACGGTTCCAATCGATATACCTTCTTGATGCCCAAACCTATGAGAAAACTTTGACCATGTTACATTTTCACCAAAGCTGATGCCATTAGTCTGTTCATTTAAGGCTTGAAAGCATTTTGGCAGCTTACCACACTAATGAATCAGGTACGCGTTTACCTGTCGATTAGTTCCATTAAGAGGTGAAACACTTCTAAGCATAAAAAACAAATCATTAGTAACCAAAATGACTGAACCAATCTTTTTTTGTGTGCTTTCATAAACAACCCAGCTTTTGATTTCCCAAACCAGCAGAGGAATGAAGACGGACTTTCAGTGGAAAAAGAACAGCAACAATAGTACAATCAAAGAGTGGTCAGTGGCTGATAAAAAAAAACACAAAACAGGTAGAATAAAGTCAGAGGGAGCTGGATTTTCTAATCTGTCTAAAGGCCACTAATGTTTCTAAGTGATGTAACAGTTTCAGGAGTACAAGACGTTTCCCTGTGGACCTGAATCCTTCCAGATTATGGTTTTAGATGAAAAAAAACGATGACCTTGAAGACTTAACCAACAAAGCATAGCTCCATCTTCAACACTATGCCTGTTTGTACATTCAGTAACACAGATCTTTACAGTTTTTTTTTTTTTTGCACTGAATCCATTACAAATACTCAGTAGCTGGTAGCAGCGGGTCATGAGTGATTGGAAAATTAAGGCAGAGGCTCAATGCAACATTCATCACAATGTGGACGACAGAAACTGGTCTGAGCTCAGTGCGAACGTGTGTGAAGTTTACATATGGGTATGAAGAGTGTTCCTCCACATGCGCAGGCTGATTGGTTGTGCATTAGAGGGTGCATGCATTTCAGCACATCGAGAGGAAGTCTATAGCTTCAAAAATAAAATAGATTTTGAGTGAATCAGGCGTCCCTTAAGAACCTCCGAGGCGTAGAAGCCATATTTAAGTGTGTTTGTCTTCGCATTTGAGCAGCTTGCTTGATCAGGTCCTTTGGTATTCCTCTATCTTTAGACTCTCTGAGTTTCCTGATGATGTGTGGCGGCTCCTAAAGAACTTTGGCACTGGTGGTGAGGGAGACGGTGTGGGACACCGGTTTCTGCGGGTAACGGCTGTAGTAGTAAACCTGGAAGAGGATGGCGACGTCCACAAAGACCTGCAGCAGGCCGCATGTCCAGAACTGCACGGGAGCCTCTGTGAGCAGGAAGTAGCCCGTTTTAAAGGTGTCGCCGCTGGTCCACATCAGAACCATCTTGATGCTTGGAGGGGAGAAGGAGAAAAGGGGAAGGCAGATATGAGTATCATAGGAGAAATTTAAGAGTTACAAAAAAATACGTTTAAACTCCCAAATGTGACTATGAGGCATGTTTTAGTTGACCCCTACTTCAGTCACCTTCTGTTTTAAAAAGAAAAATAATAATTAAATTCAGTTTATTTATTTAGCACCAATTCACAACACATTTCATCTCAGGGAGCTTTACAATTAAACCAGATCATACAATCAAATTTCTTCAAATTTTTCTATCTAAGGAAAACCAGTTGATTGCATCGACTCATTGACTGGAAGGCAATCCCTCACACTAAGCATGCTTGTGGCGATAGTGGAGAGGAAAAACTCCCCTTTAACAGAAAGAAACGTCCAGCAGAACCAGGCTCAGTGTGAGCGTCCATCTTCTGAGGCCCACTGGGGTTCAATGGGGAAAAAAATAACCGAGGTCAAGTAATTTTAAAGGCATAAGCAAAATAAACAGTGTTTTTATTTATTTATTTAGGGGTAAAGAAATTAAGTACCCTAGAATGATATAAAAAAACAACTTTAAACTGCTATACTGATTATTTTCTGTTAACATTAGCATATGCGGCCATCCAAAGAGCCACAGGCTCAATGTACTTTGCTGTTTTTGTTCCTAGGAATGTATAAAACCTAGGGTTGTGCCATTTGGAGGCTTGGGATTGGGAACGATTTTCGGCCCTGGCATTTTTTCCATCTACATCGGCCCACTTATGGACCATAATTTTGTTTATTGCAAGGATTTACAGTTTGAAGAAATAGAAAATTACACAATATGCCAACTGTCACACGGATGTGCATGACATGGAAGGGCTATATATACTGCAGGCTTCATTTAGGTAGGTAACATTGTATTGCTTCTTGAGCTCCTTGAGTTATTTACTGTCACAGGTAGGAGCTCGGGCCATAGAGTAAATGTTGGGGCCGGTATGATTTAAGGAGGGCCGGCCCTTGCACGCTGAAATTAGGACTGACTCACCAGGCAAATGCCTAGAATCACAGATTACCAGTCCGAGCCTGGCCATATGGTCGCTGTTTCGTAACAAAAAATACAAATGACATACATTGCTTCAAAGCACATCATCAATTCTGGTAGATGACCTTTATTTAAACTGCAAGAAAACAACATTTGCAACTAATGGTATGACACAGTGACACCATTCTGGATTTTCAGAAATGTAATCTCCGTAACTAAAACAATTCCTATAATTAATAACTTCGACAAATCTGCCACGTCAGCAGATAACATATTGTATATTTTGAATAAAAGTTGCGAATGTATTCCATGTTTGCAGAGTTAACCGTTTGACCATGATTTAAGCTTCAATCACACCTTTATTTGTTGCCATTACTCGTTTGCATTTGGGAGTGAATTCACAGAACATACAATAGTCCAAAGGTTTATTTTGATTCAATAATAAAGTCACATCAGCCTTTAATTTTATAACACCAGGTCTTAAGTGGAAGAAGAAAGTGTTGAGGAAAGTCCATCATTGAGCAAATGAAGCAAAATATGAACGCTCATGATGGGTCAATTCATTTTTTTGAATTTCTAGTGACTTTTCTCCCCCTACAGTTCAATTTAGCCACGTAGAACAAATCCTGATCACAGTTGGGGTGGGGTCGGAGGAATGTTATTAGTTCAGCCATAAAGGAAATAGCAAATGGAGCAGAGTAAAAACCCTGGGAAATGGTTATAATGATCCTACTACTCACTGCTCTGGCTGGCTATTAGCTCCACATCCTGTGGCACATTTCTGATTATAAAACTCATAGGGGAGCTTACAGTACACACTGAGATCTTCACACAGGCTTGTAAGTAACCATAGAAAGAGAGGGATAACTGCAGCTTAAGAGGGAAAAAATAACATTTTTAGTGTTTTGGAAGAGCTGATGCTGTTATGTGACTTGGCTGAGTTTAGTCGAGGATCCTTAACTTCATCTCTGAAATGTAATCAATGGCTCTACCTGAACACATGCAGGTTAAGGACATTTTGTTAGCATAACGAGGGATGGGGGTGGTCGGGGGCAGGAGTGGGTAATCTGCTCCATCCATCCCTTTCGGCTTTATTTTCTATTTATTTGCTTCACCTCCATTTCTTTTATTCTTTTTTCTCATATAGGTAAGGATCATATGCAAAATATCACTTCCTGTCTTTCTGTTTGCTGGTAGCAGCACCTACCATAGACCTAAGATAGAACCTAGATAGGAGATTTACTATACATTTAAATAGCGCTGATTGAATCAGATCAAAGGTCAGAGGTCACAGATTAGTGGACCGGGGTCCAGATCCAGACCCGCCTACCGGCTAATCCGGACCGAACCTGATTTGAATAATTTATAATTACCGCATGTTGTCTAACGGCAATGTCTAACTTCACTTGCACCGCTTCTCCTGTTAATACGGTAAAGCCTTTCGTAGGATCCGGCTCCAGGCTACATGTGATCCAAATTAGCCAATGAGCTGTTGTCAGTCTGGGTTGCTGCTGCTGCTACTTTTAGACACAGCAGGCAAACCTGTGGCAAGCCAAACGATGGGAAAGAAGGAGAAGATGATGAGAAAAAGAGAGCAGAGAAAGTGTGGACTGCTGGAAGAACTGTGGTGAACTGGTGAAAGAAAAGTGAAATGGTACTCAAAGATGACCATGCACATTTAGAGGATGTTTGGCTCAACCTGCTGCAGGATCCAGGCTCAAAATGAGCTCCTTGATACGTGCTTTAGAATGACTTTGTCTCCATTCAAACCCAGGTTTAAAGCAGGGCAGCATAAAGCCCACTGCTCTCATTAAGCCAGAAAAAAGAAAGAAAAATAACAAACTGTCAGTTCAGGTGTTTTATAAAATATGTGCATCAGGAAATTGTCTATATACCAAACTGAAAGGTTGTTGAAGGTTTGCCTGCTGTGTCTAAAAGTAGCAGCAGCAGCAACCCAGACTGACAGCAGCTCATTGGCTAATATGCATCACGTGTTGCCTGGTCCAGAACAATCCGGAGGGCTTTACCGTATTAACAGGAGAAGTGGCGCAAGCGAAGTTAGACACTGTCATCAGACAACACGCTGTAATTTATTAATGTTTTAAATCAGGTTGGGTCTGGATTAGCTAGCAGGTGGGTCCGGATCCAGACCGCAGTCCGCTAATCCGTGACCTCTGCTCTTCTGTTCTCTTATGCACTGCAGAAACCGGAAAGTTACGCCGACATCTTGTTTTAAACAACCAAACAGATTCATTACACAAACTGTGTGACTGACTGTACGTCTTTAGGAATAACTTTGATGCTTACCAGCTTTTTTTGTCATCTGCCAATGGATACATGAGAATTAGGACAACATGTGTTCACGCAATAACTTAGAGTACTGGGGCTTTCTATAATGCACAAAAAAATAGCTTAGAAGAAAAAGGAAAATAAAAAAAAGACTGAAGGCTCACCAAAAGGAGAGCTCTGTTGCCTGACCAAAATAGATGAGACATTTAATATAAGCTTCACAGTACGCTGTCGACAGTGAGAAGAAGGATAGATTTAGTGAACCGTCTATAAAAGTGAGATAAAGATATTGCAGAAAGCAACTCAGTGAAAGTTCAGCTGAAGTTGTTTGGGTTTCCCTATTTATTTAAAGTAGTTTGAAAGACAGTTCATTGTGAGGCACGGATGCATGCTGACAAAGGAAGGACGGAGCCAGCATGGTCTGCAGCACACTCATCCAAACAGGACTCCTCAGAAGTCTTTCCTAAAGCAACCTGCCTGAGACAATATGAACACCTGCTGAGACATTTAAAATCTCTTCACCCCGGCGCAGCGCTCTGGTCGGTCAGCACTATTTGAATGAGCTTTACGAGGCATTTCTTTGTCTCACCGAACAGACTGCCAGTCTCAATTTAATGGCTTAGTTCTTCCCCAGCGATCCAGCTTTATTTGCTCAGATCCGATGATATCTGCCTCAGACTCCCGGGTCTCCAGAGATGCTCGGGGAGGAGGGGGGGTCAGGGAGAACTGGCAGAAAGAGCTGTAATTAAGCCACAAATTGACGTATTATCTTGGCTAAAACGCACGTCCAGTGATTTTAAACCTCATTTAGAACCGCTATCGGACTACAAGCTCAGTCAGCACCTCCCTGAGGCTCATTGTGCCATTTGTCTCCCCTCTTAGCTCCTTGTAGCATCTTTCCTCGTGTTACAAATTGCTGCAGGTGATTACTGTGGAGCAAGCGCACAGCGTGAACGTTCAATCAATGTCTCCTGCTGAGCTGAATCCGACAGAGCCTTAAAAAGATTCCGCCTCGGCACCAATACCGGCTGACGGTTTAAACAATTACCCGACTCTACAACTTCTCAGCACCCGTTGCTTTTAAACCTGCAACAAAAAGTTGCCTGAAAACAACGGATCAGCATAAATGGAGATAATTCCTAACCCAATCTACAGAAAACATCAATGAAAACCCCTACCGCCTGACCAAATTTTTAAACGCGACACCTTTACTATTGTTAGAATTATTATTATTATTGTTGACTGCAATTTTATCACTTCAACAGATTTACAATGCATTCTTTGTGCCTCCAAACTAAGCCCACACTTACCAGTCAAGAGACTATTTAGACCAGTGGGCTGTTCTGCCAAAGTGCTTCATAAATATTGAGAGCAGTTTTGCTTAATTTACTGCCGACTAAAATAAATAGGTGGTTTGAGAGGGGCATTAAGGAAGCCATCTATGTTAAGAAAGAAAGAAAACAACCTTAAACAGAGGGAGTGGACTCAGATTTCAGCTTTCAAAAAACTACCATGCAGCAATTGAGTTGAATCCATCCTGCTATCATCTAAGCCCCAGCCTCTGTACAGGAGAGCGGAAGACCTCGTCTATTTTGTCAGTTCAACAATCCCCTTTATTTTACCTAGCTATCAAAATTAAAAGTAACTACTTTATATGCATCAGATTCCATGTTGTTTGGGGTTCTAGTCAGTCCCTGGCGGTT